AATGAAGCCATTGAATTTCATAGAAGTGATCCAATTTATATTTATAAGGCAACTCAGATCTAGGATAAAGATTTGACAACATCCTAGATTTGGAGACAATTTTTGGTGAAGTATGTCATTGATAAAAAGGTGACAGAATACAAGAAAGAATAATTCATTAAGTAAGAGCTTCAACTATGTGCCAAGTACCCTATTAAGATACTGGAATCTTTGCCAGGTACCAGTGTCTCACACCTGCCATCTTAGCTACTCAGGAGGCTGAGGTCTAGATTCACAACCCCTAATACCATCCAAAAAGTCAAAATACTAGTCATGTGGGAAATACATGAATAAGCAGCAATGACAAAACAAAATTTTAATTATATTCAATTCCACAAGAGAAATTTGACGTTATGAGCTTGAGAAACGAAAACCATTACTATTGGTTAGGAAAAGGTTTTTACTAAGGAACACCACAAAAACAAATCTGAAAGGCTCACAGAAATCAACTAAAGAGCATGGTATGGAACTGATGAGAATTTCCAAGGGAACAAGAATAGCATTTACCAAGGAACCCTAAGCAGTCAGTGTGGTAGGAGAGGATTTTGATGTGTGGGTTGAAATTGAACTGTCTAACAAGGTTTTGGTCTTTACTATAAGAACCAGAGGGAGTCATGGCAATTTTAATGGGGGAGTAGGGGGTGATAGTAAAAACATCAAGTTCATGTTTTAAAGACTATTGTGGCTCACTACAAAGCTACTGAAGGGCTGGGATCTGAGGATCACAGTTTGAAGCTTGCCAGGCAGTAAAGTCTGTGAGACTTGTATTTCCAATTAAACACCAAAAAGCCAAAAGTGGAGCTATTACTCAAGTGCTATTACTCAAGAGCACCAGCCTTGAGAGAAAAAGCTAAGGGACAGCAACCAGGCCTCAAGTTCAAGATTCAGTACTGGCGTGTGCTCACGCACACGTGCACGCGCACACACACACACACACACACACACACACACATCATTGTTGTTGTTGTAGCTGCAGCATGAAAAATGCATTACAGGGCACAAGAGTGGAGGGCCTGGTAAAGAGAGCCAAGCTCTCATTGCAGATCAGCAAGTGGGCGACTTAATGACTCTCCAGATTTTAGAATTTCAGGCTTACCCCTTCATAATCATCTTCTCAGTTTGATGGTAAAACATCACCTAACTAGACAAAGTATTTTTTTCCTTCTTAATAGGTCAAAATGACTTCGTTCTTAGAATGGGACTGAGGGGGAAGGATGGTACAAAGAACTGAAGATTCACTTTTTACCTAAAACATTTCTATATTTCATGTTTTACCAATGAAACTATAAATACCAGTTTAAAAAAAAACCACAAATGTTGTGCTAGAAGCTGGGGGCTGGAATCCTACTGTAATCCTAGCTACTCCGGATGCTGATCTGAGGATTGCAGTTTGAAACCAGCCCCAGCAGGAGTCTAAGACACTTACCTCAAATAAATCACTCAGAAAAAGCTGGAAGTGGAGCTGTGGCTCAGGTGGTAAAGTGCTGGCTGTAAGTAAAAGGAGTTCAGAACAGTGCCAGGCTATGAGTTTAAGCCCCCAGACTGGCACAAAATGAATAAATAAATTGCAATACTATCAAATTATTAATAGATGTAAGTGGAGTAGAGAAAGTGCAGACTGTTATTTTATGCCACCAAGGAGTGGACTTTGAACTCTCAAGAGCCCATTTCCATCTCCTCTGCTTCTTAAAGTTAACCTGCAAGAACCTGTAAAGTTAACCTGTAGGAACTAGAGGAATTAATGAGACCCAATATCTCATCAGTGGTCACATGAGTGCTACCAGGAAATAACTTATAGCTTCAAAATGCAATAAATACCTGGGTCTGGAATATACCCCATCACTTGGGAGCTGAGGCAGGAGAATTGTGAGTTCAAGTTACAGGCCAGCCTTGGCTACCTAGTGAGACCCTGGCTCAAAGAAAAAAAAAAAAGTAAATAGCTTAAAAAAGTTAAATTGTTCTCGGTAATTTTCTCAATAACAGAAAAGGTTAAGATGACCAACAGTCAAAAAGCTCACACTAAACTACACTTCTTCAAAGAACCTTAACTGAAAGAGAGAGAGAGAGAGAGAGAGAGAGAGAGAGAGAAGCTAGCAATAACCTTGGGCAAGACATTCTACACGCAGATAGCTCTTACAGGATGAAAGCTTCTTTTTTCTAAGGAGATACAATGAAGTCCTTAGCTGGGAAATGTTAAAACATACTAGGGTTGGCATCCAACCCAGATAGATTTTATAATTCTGGACCAACAAAACCTGTTTGGCAGAAGTGTGTCTGGTATTATATGTGTATTTAGCAGAACCTTACAGATCCAGACAGCATTAACTCATAACCACATTTATAAGCAGGCTCTGTATCTTTTCCTTCCAATATTCCCTTTGCTTTCTGTTTGAATTATCAATCTGCCTTTTGAGTTTCTTGATGCTCTACACTCCTACTTCTGGCATTTGAAATAAATACCACTAAGAACATTGTGTACTTCTCATCTCACTTACTAAAATGAACATAGAAAACTATCAAAAAGAATCCAGGAAATACTGAAATGAGAAATTATACATAAAAAATAATCAATGCTGATTTGCTAACAACAGCAATGGAGGTTCACAAAAAGTACTAACTGCCAACTGAACAGAACTGTATAAACCACTTTCATCCATTATTTATCAGCTACCTTTGAGCCAAAGATAATCATTCCCAGGTCACAGATGAGCAAGCATGGAGACCTAACCATTTGCCAAGATTTATATAATCTTGTTTTATGATATCTGTGTTCCTTATGCCAATACAGTGTGCTGCAAGAGAGGCAGGACTATTAGGTAAACACACGCACACACACACACATGCATGCACACATGCATATCTTCTCTGAATGTTTCTGCTCTTCCCCCCAAATTATGTTGAGATGCTAGCCTTTAAGGAAATGGAGTCCTTGGTGGGACACAAATGAATGGAGTTAATGCCCTTAAAAAAGAGCTCCTCCTTCCGTGTGAGTTCAGAGTATGGCTGTCTATGAAGGAGACTCATCAGATACAGAATATGCAGGCCCCTTCATCTTGGACTTTTTAGCCTATAGAACTACAAGAAACAAATTAATTGCTGTATATAAGCCATTCCACCTATATTTTGTTGTTTAGGCTGATATATCAGCCCAAATGGAGTACTAACTCTGATTCTCCTTGGAACTACTAGTAAACTGGTGTCGTGTCTCTTTTTATTTTTGGTGCCAGTCCCGGGCTTGAACTCAGGCCCTGGGAGCTGTACCTAATCTTTTGTGCTCAAGGCCAGAGCTCTACCACTTGAGTCACAGCTCCATTTCTGGCTTTTTGATTGTTAATTGGAGATAAAGGGTCTCAAGGACTTTCCTGCCTGAGGTGGCTTAGAACCATGATCCTCAGATCTCAGCCTTCTCAGTAGCTAGGATTACAGGGGTGAATCACCAATGTCTACCTCTGATTCTTTCAAACTTGTCACTTGCATCATTTATTTTCTGTTCTTTTTCCAAGCCATATCACGAATTTGAATTCATGGCACATGAATTCAAAGGATATAGCCTAGAATATCATTTTGGAGTTACAAATTGCTAGGAAGAGATATCTAAATGACTGAGTTTGGTTGACATGGGCACTCTACTCCACTGATTCTAAGGGAAATAACTGTATTCGTAATGGAAATAAAGTCATGGGCACCATGTGAGACCAACTGACCAAACAGTAATTATGAATGATCTGAAGCAGTATCAACTACTTTCCGAAGATGATTATATAAAAAAATCTTACAAAATTTAAATAAAATACTATGTTGTAATGAAGTATAAAAATATGGGTGCCTGGAAACTTGGACAATGCTTATCACACTGGTCTATGACTATATGAAGTCAATGAAAAGTTAGGATTGTTCCTGCAGTTTGCTACTTTAATATCACATTATCAGTGAGCAAAGCAAAAACTAACATTTTTCCTCTAAAATAATAAACTATTAAGTGTCTCCTTAGTACAGTTGGTAGTGTGTAAGTCTCATAAAATCTTTAGTGGCCCATGAATTTGAATACACTCAAAATAGCATATAACAAGGCTGGGAATATAGTTCTGTGATAAAGGCTTGTGTTCATTCCCAGCACCTCAAAAAGGAAAAAAAAAACAATTAAAAAGAAAGATGGCATATATCATTCCTTCATGAGTCCATGCACTGTGCATTCTAAAAAATCTCATTACCCCTTGTGCATATGTTCCCAAAGCTCTACCTCTTCTTCCCGCCCCCCACCACTACTGAGCATAATGTATTTTAATTGTGACTGTTCATCAGTCTCTTTTTTTATGCCATGAATCTCCATGAAAGTTTTCCTTTGCAGATGATGTACCTTCAACATACAATGTCATTTGTGAAGCATATAAAGTATACCCATTATTTGTTACATAAACCATATGCTCCCAAATGTTCAGAATCCTCTGAAAAAATTTTAGATCCTGGATGACAGGGAAAAGCAATTCTTATTTTACCAAGAGCCAGAAGTCACATAATATCCTTTTGACCTGGAACTGGTATGTAGACCAAATCCTTCATGGAGTTTTGAAGGTTAAAAAACTATGACCTCTTAAAAGCAGAATTGAGGTGTTTTTCTCTGGAACTTGTAGCAAATCATTTACTGGTGATTACCTAATGGTGGTAATGTCTGAATTATGTCAGACAGAAAGCAACCTTTATATAAAAACCACCATCACCAGGGATTGAGGTGTGTATCTGTAGTCTCAGTTACTTAGGAGACTGAAGCAGGAGAATCATTTAACAGCCTGAGTCACATGGTGAGACTCCGTAAGAAAAACAAAAAACAAAAACAAAAAAACTCCTTTAATTCAAAATGCTCCAGAAAAGCACAGTATTTTATGCTTCAATAACAGCTTTTCCACTGAACAACAACAAAACAAAAAAACCCACCATTGTATATTAAGCAGCAGCATTCAAGGTTGAGTCTTAAATGTTACTTTAATAGTATCCACAAAGAAATATGGTTTGGTTAAGTAATGGCTTATTTTTATTTAAAACAATCTATGATTTTTACCCATTGTTTATAGAGAACTTGATTTTTAAAAAATACTTTCTTTTGTCAAATGGGTTATCTTAAGATAGGAAGAACCAAATTATTCTTTGGTTTTATTATATGGGAAAAACAACACACAGTGGTCAAACAACTTTGTGATATTTATATTCTATTGCACAGGTTTGGGTTATACAAATTAGTAACACAAGTTATTTCTTAAATTGCAAACATTTTCTAAAATATCATTACAGCAGATGCCTATTATATTAAAACATCAAGGTAGAAATCATACTTTTAATAGTTAAATGCAACATTAAAAATACTGCTGATTCAGTTAAAGAAAAACTAAAATGTGTGCTCAAATGCTCTAAAACTAGGTAGCAGGGCAACTAACAACAAGTTAAGTCACTGTGGTCCACTTTAATGTATGCATATATATGAGTATTCTTGATAACCCCTCTCCTGAAAATGCATAATGGAAACATAAAAACCCAGATAATTGATTTAAAGTAATTGTAATTCTTACTAATGCCTAAGCTCTATGGTAAAGTGTACTTTATCTAAGATAAAGTACATATCTATATATCTATGACCTCATACATTTACTAAATCATATATAAAAGACACCACACTTAGAAAGAAGAAAGAATGTTTTTAAGGTAATAGTTTTAATTCAATTATTGAGATGAAAAGACAGTGAAGCCCTGTTTACTACTTACATGAAAGAAGATTTAAAAAAAAATCACTGCACGAAATACAAAGGGTGGGGTTAGGCTGTGATATTAAACTTTTCTCTGTGTCTTTCTTGATTGTTCAAGAGCAAATTAAAGTTTCCACGGCAAATTTGTTTTCAAAATGCCGAATTGTGACACAATCACTGACTTCTCGTTTCTGAATACCTGTTAGGGAAAGAAAAGTTTTTAAGTTTTGGGTTCTTTAGTAATGAATAGTCATATTAATTCTCACAGGTATTATTTATTTTAATGGAAGCATTTCACTCTGTTCTATGAATTTCTATACTTAGTCTATCATACTACAAAAATTAACTTTTTAAATTTTTTATGTTTGTCCTTGCACTTGAACTCTGGGGCTGAGAACTATCTTTGAGCTTTATTGCTCAAGTCTAGCTCTCTACAACTAGAGCCACAGCTCCACGTCTGGCTTTTTGGTGGTTAATTGGAGATCTGGACTTTTCTACCCACAGTGGCTTCAAACTGCAATCCTCAGATTTCAGCCTCTTGAGTAGCTAGGATTATAAGCATGAGCCACTAGCCCATCCTTTAGGAAAAATAATTTTTAATTCCTTTTCTGGATTAGGTATTTTCACAGATAATAGTATAATAGATTGCTTATACCTTTACCAGCTTGAAAGGTACTAGAAATAGTCTCCATCTTGAAGAGGACCGTGGGTATGGGTACGGGTACTCAGAAATGCACATTAAAAAGAGCAGTCTTCATCCCATCAGTTTAACTTTGTTAAAAACTATGAACTAAGCCAACTTTTTTTTTTGCTAGTCCTGGGGCTTGAACTCAGGTCCTGGGCACTGTCCCTGAGTTTCTTTTGCTCAAAGCTAGCACTCTGCCACTTGAGCCAGCACTACTTCTGGCTTTTTCTGTTTATGTGGTACTAAGGATGGTACTAAGGAATCGAATCCAGGGCTTCATGCATGCTAGGTAAGCACTAAGATATATTCCCAGCCCCAAGACAATTTTAAATGTAAGAAATCAAGGAGCAAGTGTCCAATGACTCATAAGGTAAGAGAACAGTATTATTAAAAGCACGAATAAAAAGCTAGGGAAGCATTTTGGCCAGGTGACATAAGGCCAAAGAAATCATACCACAGCAAAACTGAATGACAATTCCTTACTCTCTACAGTTCTGTCACATGTCATTTCTTTTTCTTTTTGGAAGAAGTGGGGACATACTGTTATCCTGATTTTTCACTTAAGTCAAATGGTTAGGGAAAGCTACATCAGTTGTGTCAATGCTCTGAATTCCTCACTCCAAATTTCTTTCTAAGGTGACTGATTACCCTCAAAGTGACTCAAAAGGCAACTTTCCTGCTTTACATCCAGATCTCTGAAAGTACAACTGAGCATCTGGTATCAAGAGACCATTAAAGACTCTTAGTGGCTGAGCCACAGAGGAGACACAAAGTCAAACCAGGGTGGCTAGTGGAAGGTGAGGGACAAGTATCTCAATGTCTTCATTCTCTCAATAATTTTTCCATCTAAGGAATGAATTTAAGTTTAAGATGATTATATGAAATCTGAAAGTATTCTATCTATATCTAGATATAGATATAGATAGAATACTTTCAGGACATGATGTAATTTTCTTTTTCTTTTTTTTCCCAGTGTTTAACTTTTTTTTTTAATTGTGAAAATACTGTACAGAGGGGTTACAATTACATGGGCAAGATAATGAGTACATTTTTTATCAAACATTGTTGCCTCCTCCTTTGTTTCCCCTTCCCATCCCTTTCCATCTCCCACCCTGCCCCCCTCTCCACCCCCTGCCACCCCGTCCAAAGTTGTATGTAATTTTATTTTCTCACTCACAGGAAGCATATTAATATTAACGACTAGACTTCATTTCAATTGTTCAACACAATAAAGTGACAAAATAAACTTTCCTACCTGAATTTTAACATTAAAAACATTACCCTCCTTAGCTAAATCTAGGTATATTTTCATGTCCATCTGATTAAAAATTAGTAGAAAATTAAAATTCATTTTCATCACCATGTATAGCTTCTATTTTACTACATGGAAAATGCAAAGTGAAAACTAGATGGGGGACAGTTTCCTTGCATTTTCACTGCTTCTCTTTTAGCGAGAATTTAAAACATCCAGTGTTACTGGGGCAAAGTAATCGTGAAACTCTATCATGAATAAGAGTCTTTGGGTTCACTAACATCTGACCTTCCAAAGGGAGAAAGGAATTAAAAGTATGAGCACAATATTTTTTCCATGTGTCTGGTCTTTGCTTCGAGCAATATGTACAAATAGAAAATACAGGCTTTCAGGATACATATTACTTTAAATGCACACTACTACTTGCTGCCAGACCAGATGTATAGAAAAAACAAAACCAAACTATTTCGTTTCTATAGCCACTAAAGCGATATTTACTTTGTTTTAATTTGCCATAATTTGCTTATAAAAAAAACCTATCACCCTTTGGTAGTAAAGGTTCAGTATAAATAGGTGTTTGAGCTTGACATCTTTATGGTTTTTTTTTAATTGTGAAAATACTGTACAGAGGGGTTACAATTACATAGGCAAGATAATGAGTGCATTTCTTATCAAGCATTGTAGCCTCCTTCATTTCCCCTTCCCATCCTATCCTCCCTCCGCCCCCCCCCAACATCTTTATGTTCTGATTATTATTTTTTCCATTTCAATTAAGGCACCAGTAATGGTAGTTTTTGAAATATACTGTAAAATAAAAAGGTAGCATAATTAAAATTGAACAAGCAAGCATTACCTTTAATAGTTTCTCTGCGTTGCAGTTTGTAAGTTTCCTTGTCATGGCAAAGTCGATAAATAAAGAAGCCCAGGTGATCGATGTTTTCAATGCGATCAGTAATAACCATGTGCTCATGAATCAGATAGGACTGAGGCAGATAGGTTCCAGCCTACATTTAGAAAGTCTTATGTTATATGAATATCTCAAATATGTTATTCTCAACACTCTGGAAAAACAGAATTCTTAAGAGTTAATAGGCATTGACATCTGATTTTTATAAATATAGTTCTAGATTTTTTTTGAGATAGCTTCTCACTATGTTGCCTAAGCTGACCTCAAACTCCAGGGCTCTCATAATCCTCATGTCTCAGCCTCTACAGTGGTTAGTACTATAGGTGTGTGCCACTGTGCTGGTTATAAACAAGAGCTTTGTTGGAACAGAACCATTCCCTTTGGTTTACACTCAGGAATGAGGAACAGGTAGCCTGGCTGCTGGTCATAAAAGGTCCTCAAAAGTCCTTTGATACAGGATGGGACAGATATGTATACCTATCAACAGCTGTCTATGCCTGTCTTCCTGTATTGATAATTTTTTATCACCCATGAATTATGTTATTGAAACGGCCCTTGGCATAAAAAAGGTTCCTCAGATCTAGATAAGGCATCAGAATTAAACTGAGGATTAATAATATTCTCTGGTCTTTTAGGTATCCATTAAACATAATTTTACAAAGTTTACTTGTAGGTATGATTTTTTTCTTTAAAGACAGGGTTTCATATATAGCCCAAGGTGGACTTAAAACTCCCAATCTTTCTGCCTCCACTTCCAAGTGCTGGGATTAGAGGTGTGTGCCTCCTTCCCCACAATTAACTGTATTTTCTTTCTTTTTTTGTCAGTTGTGGGGCCTGAACTCTGGGCCTGGACACTTTCCCTCATCTCTTCAGTTCAAGGCTAGTGCTCTACTGCTTGAGCCACAGTGCCACTTCCAGCTTTTTCTGCTTATATGGTGCTGAGGAATGGAACCCAGGGCCTCATGCATGCAAGGCAAGCACTCTGCCACTGACCCACCTTCTCAGCCCCAGTACACTGTATTTTTTTTTTTTTTTTGGTCAGTTGTGGGGCTTGAACTCTGGGCCTGGACACTGTCCCTCAGCTCTTCAGCTCAAGGCAAGTGCTCTACCACTTGAGCTACAGCACCACTTATGGTTTTCTAGTGGTTTATTGGAGATAGGAGTCTCAAGGTCTTTCCTGCCTGGGCTGGCTTTGAACCGTGATCATCAGATCTCAGCCTCCTGAGTAGCTAGGATTACAGACGTGAGCCACCAGTGCCCAGCTTAAACTGTATTTTCATTTCAACATATAAAACATTACGGAAATAAAATTACTTGTCTTAGTTCTTCTTTGTAAAACTCTTGATTATATTCTCATAAGATGGCCTCCAATAGGGCTAACTTTTCAACAGGGAATTCCAAGACTCTATAACAACATCCCTAGTTAAGGAAATATGAAATACTTCATACCTTGATGTTAATAAGTAACTCCAGCAGGTTTCTGGGTGGCATAACAATGGAAGTGTTCAAAGGAATCACGTAGCACTTGTCCAGGTTAAGATCTAGATAGGCAGTGAGTCTCTGAGAAAATAATTATAGTTAATATTTTTGATTTTTAAGAGTAACTGCTACATTAATATAGGCCATCTTTAGAATGCAGAAATCACTTGCATTTTAAGAAATGAAGAATTTGGTGGGACAAACATAAAAGTAGGAATAGAAGAGGAAGTTATTGCTAGTAAGTGAAACTCTTAACAAGTTTCTATAATAAAGAATGACTATACCTGCTAAAATTAACTGCAAATACCTATGAGCCAGCTAATTAACCCCTACTTACAAGGTCTGACTGTGGTTATGTAAATATTACTTTCTCTCCTATGTACCTCAAATATTAGGATGATCTTTAAAGAAATAGAAAGACAGTCTCTGAAATTACTTTTTGTCTCTTGTTGTTCAAGTAAGAAGGCTCAGTAAACAAGGACAATCTTATAGGATTGTTTTGATGACTAAGTTAGACCAAACCATGCAAACACTTGGATTTCTCAGTGCTACCTATTATTTAATATTTGCTTGTGATAAGAGTTATTATCTTGAAACAATTTTTCATAAATGGTATTTATAAATACATATATTTAAATAATGATGTATTTAAAAGGCACAAAAGTTTGTATAGCTAACTTCACTGATATGTTTGAGTATTCATCATGGCAAAGACATAAAAGCCAAAGGCAATCAGTGAATTTGTACATCTCAGAACCCTGGTTTGAAAAAACAAATTCTTGGGATAAAAGTACTGAGTAAATTAAAATATACATTAGATAACTAATACTATATTATCAGGTTCTTTGTGTCTGTGAGTGTGCTGGTACTAGGGCTTCAATTTAGGGCCTGGTATTCTTATTTAGGTTTTTTGCTCAAGGCTGCCACTTTACTTCTCAAGCCACAGTTTCACTTCTGGCTTTTTGCTGGTAAACTGAAGAATCTTAATGGATTTTGTCTTCCTGGGCTGGCTTTGAACAGTGCATGATCCTTAGACTTCAGCCTCATGAGAAGCTAGGATTACAGGTGTGAGCCACAGGGGCCCAGCATCAGGTTCATTTTCAGGTTAATACATCACCATTATGTGATGATGATGCTTATAACTATGTAGAGGGACATTCTCATTCTTAAGAGATAAGAACTTAAGTCTTTAGGGGAAAAGTGTCAAATGAGAAAGACAGAGATAAAACATATATGGGAAAATGTTGGAGTCAAGTAACTCTGGGCATCTGCTATTTTGCATTACATAAAAAACGCTGACAATGTGGGGGAAATGCAGGCCAATCAAGATGCAAATTAACTTATTAGTTATTAATTTCTGAAAATGTTACTAAGGAATGGACACACAAATGACTTCCTACCTAAGAAAATGTAGGAATGGGTAAGAAATACCCACTTTGTTTGCCAGCAAACAAAGCAAAGGAAAAAACAACAGTAAGACATGGGAAGGTCAGGCCAGTAAGGGGTCAGCTTCAGATATAGTAGTGCTACCACATGTGAATAGGTTCTCTTGTAGGGCTGAAAAAACCATGTCCATTTTGGGTTTTTTGTTTGGAAACAGGATCTTACTACATAGCCCAGGCTGATCTTGAACTCTTGATTCGTTTACCTCAATCTCATGAATGCTAGGATTACAAGCATCTGTCATCATGCTCAGCTTTTCCAAATCTATTTTTTTAAGTAAAATCTAACCTCTAGGTAGAATAATTTAGCAATATTGAACTCCAAAATCGCAAAAGATAGACTTAAAGAACCTGCATTCTTTTTACCACTGTGGACATTTGGCTCACCTTGTTAAAATCATGAACAATGTTGGCAGGATCACTATCTGCAAACTCTGGCACAGGCACACTGATGAATTCAACCTCATCTTCTTCAAAGATCTTAATGTTTTCCTCAATGGTCTGATAGCGAGCAGCGGGGGCAGCAGCAGATGGCTCATTTAAGTTGACATCATCCTTGATGTACTTTATTCCACAGTAGTACACGTCATCTGGCTACAGAGAATTTAAACACCTCAGCAATTCAGTATGAGACAGGTTTTTAAATGTAAGCATTACTTAAGCTGCCACTTCTATTAAATACCGTTCAGCTTGCAAACTCTTACTTTCAGATGACAAGTCAGACAGCTTAATTATAGATTTAACACATTCCTTAAGACCAGGTTTTTGAAGTATTATTTTTTTTAAATGGCTTCAAAAGAAGAACAGTACTGATTTCCCCTTTACTTTTGTGGTAGATAAAAACAGAATATAAAAACAATTATCCATTAGGTGACAAATATAAAGAAACACATAGGCCTACTCCTACCTGTAGGTACTGTTTTGTTCACAAAAGAACATATTCAGAATCAACTCGTATTATTTTAGAAAGAATATATACAAATATATATGTATATTTTCCTTTCTTCTTTTTTGTGCCAGGTCCTGGGGCTAGAACTCAGAACCTGGGTACTATCCTTGAGCCTTTTTCTCAAGGTTAGCACTTGATCACTTAAGCCACAACTCCACTTTGAGCTCTTTGGTGATTAACTGGAGATAAGAGTCTCACAGCTTTTCCTGTCCAAGCTGGCTTTGAACTGCTATCTTCAGATCTCAGCCTCCTGAATAGTGAAGATTACAGGAATGAGCCACTTTCAAAACTGCTGATGACATTCATTTATTTGGTGATTTTTCCCTTTTAATTCCAAAGATAGGTAATTTTTCTGAAATTCTGAGTTTTCCTTAAACTGTATCACAATTAAGTGGATGGTATTATAGCAAATATTTATATTATTTTATCTTTCCAGATTTAAAGAGTGTGTGTGTGTGTATATATATATATATGTGTGTGTGTATGTATGTATATATGTGCAATAAAAACTAGGGGAAGGACTTATAATAACAGTTTGGCATCAAATGTTATCTGGGGACAATGGAAAGAAAATTATTTTTTCTTGCTAAAAATATTTTAAGATACTTTTCCTAGTATTTCAGTAATGTCTACCAATTTGTCATCATCATAAATAATACAACAAATGAGCAAAAAATATATCTTCTGGCAGAATATTTCAAAATTAAATTTTAAATTTGAATTTTAAAAAATGTATTTGTCAACTGTTTTCTTTGAAGTTTAGAACACTGAAATATTTGTGGAAATTTTAAAATAAATTTCTCCTGCAAGATTCCTTAAATGGGGCTAGGCAACATATGCATGTAATCCCGGGCAACCACAGAATTGGTTTTTGAAGTCAACCTGGGCAAAAAGAAAAGGTTGATGAGCCTCCATTTCAACAAACAAGTCAGGCATGGAGTTTCACATTTGTTAGCCCCATTATTCAGGAGACCTAGTTAGAACTGTGGTCTGAGGCTGGCCATAGGCAAAACCATAAGATCCTACTTAAAAACCAAATGTTATGACTTTCATCTCCCCAGCAAGTCTGAGCCCTAAGTTCAAATGCCAGTACTGTCAAAAAATAAAGAAAAAGAAGAAAAAATATATATACAAACTCCTGAATTAACTAGGAAAAACATAACAACACAACAGATAAATCATAATTAAGTGGGAGAAAATCTATGGGATTCTACTAAACACTGTTAATAGCAACTGTCATCCTAAATTACTTCAATATCACTGTTGTAGTCACATGGTTCTTTAAACAAACCAGTGACTTGGAGGCTGTAGAAACATGCTGACAGTATATTCTGGTCCTAAGAGCAAAAGGTTACTGTGTGGATGGAGCAAACTGGCTCTCAATGATAACATGACAGCATTTATGGCTAATGTATTTATCCAACTGGTGATTAATAACACTATACACCCTCTTCCTTATTAATAAATGTTATTTAATTTTGAAATAAATCACCATGCAATCTAAGTCCTTATTTTAATCAAGAACATCTAAAAATTCTGTTACTCTGCTTCTACTAGCTATGTGTTTAATAGGTGTGGAAAGCACATGATCAGGTTAAGCACAGCTTTAATACAGAACCCCTCTGGCTAAAGGCCATCCACAGAAACAAACTTAGAACAAGTCAGGAACAATTTTCTTTCTTTATTTTCTTTTTTATTTTCGCCAGTCCTGGAACTTGAACTACTGGAACTTGGGCACTGTCCCTAAGCTTCTTTTGCTCAAGGCTAGCACTCTACCACTTGAGCGACAGTGCCACTTCTGGCTTTTTCTGTTTACGTGGTACTGAGACATCGAACACAGGGCTTCATACATGCTAGGCAAACACTCTAACACTAAGCCACCAGCCCCTCAGGGACAATTTTCTAATGCTCATGATGGAAAAGAAAAAAAAAGTTTTTGTTTTGTTTTTTAACTACTTACTTGAAGTGCAAAGTATTTGTACAGGTATGCACCTCCCAGAATGACACCTGCAAGCATGAATGCGAGCCCAAAGCACATGCACCAGCACCAGGCTCTTCTCTGTCCCACAGGGACAATGTCATCCGGGTCCTAAAAGATGAAAATGACAGCCAGTCAACACTGAGCTTCAAGCAGAATCTCAGGATGGAAAAAACCCTCAGCTTTATCATTTTAATAAATGGAGACAGAAAAGACCAAAGGAATTAGACTCGTATCAAAATCAACCTAGGAGCAGTGCCAAGACTCATCCAACTGGCTGGAGAATATTGGTCCTTATGAAGTATTCTTACTGCCAATTCTTAATACCCCACCGATTAACTGTGTCTTGAGCAATGACACTTCTATTTTCTATGCACAACTTTTGGCAAATCTTCTAGTAGTAAAATTCAGAAAAGGTTACAAACGCAACTTCCCCATACAGTATCCTGATATTAAACCTTGTATATCACAGATTCAGGGTTATCTGTCAGGTTATTTATAAAAATTCTTAGCTTGCTACATCTAGGTAGATAATATTTTATTCCAGGTATGAAACCATTCTAATAATCCACAAGAAAAAGCTAACAGAAAATAGGAAAGAAAATTCTTTACACAGTTAGAATCTTAAAAACATAAAAATAAAAGACAAAGTCCTAGACACCTCATGCCTATAATCCTAGCTACTCAGGAAGATGATATCTGAGGATCACAGTTCAAAGCCAGCTGGAGCAGAAAAATCCCTGTGAGACTCTTATCTTCAATTAGCCATTCAAGAACTAGAAGTGGTGCTGTGGCTCAAAGGCTCCAGGCTAACCTGGAGCAAAAGAGCTCAGAACAACAACCAGGCCCTGAGTTTAAGCCCCACAACCAACAACAATAAAAGGACCAAGTTACTGACCGAGAATAGCCTACAATACTGCTCTAAATTTCTTCATTTTATTGTGGAAATATAATGTTATTAACTCAAAAATGAACTGAGTTAAAATAAGACCCAATATGGAAAAAAGTATATGCAGCCTCTACGTATAATATAGTACAAATAAGATCTTAAAGAAAAACTACATGAATAATGCACAAAAACAGAGTGGGTTTATCAGATCAAAAAAACAGATATGGCTGAAGCAAATAGATTGCACTCTAGCCTAAATCCTTGCAAATATTCTCTACCACTTGAGCCACACCCTTGGTTTTTTGTTTTATTTTGTTTTTCAGGTAGGGTTTCATGCTTTTGTCCAGGCCAGATTTGAGCTACAGTCCTTGTATTTCTGCCTTCTGGGTAGCGGGGACCACAGGTGTGTGTCACCATGTACAACTTGTTTCAAACCACAATCCTCTGATCTCTACCTTTGAAGTCGCTGTGATTAAATGCATGTGCCACCAATTTGACTCTATTTTCAATCCTAGGGAAATTTGATTTTGATGCCACTGGGAAAAGTCCATTTTCAAATGTTACACACCAAGAACAATGTAAGGCTAAATAGTGTGCTCTCTGAGGTTCTGTCTTTAAACAGAATTTCAAACTGTACAACAAATACTATTTAATCTGAGGATCAGATGAAACACTGTGTTACATTTTGCTGAAATACTTGTCAATATGCTGTGTGTATACCAAAGGCAGCAGAATGTAATGAGAATAGCCTAGAAGGATTTGTCTCATCATGTAAAATATCCTATTTGTGAAAAGTTGTAAGGATCTTATGGCATCATACAGTATTATGAAACCTAATGATAAAATATACCTGTTTTGCTTGAGCCTTATCTGATACAAACATCTACAGAGATAAGAAATTCTTAACCTAATTAATTTCAAGGTGGTGGCTAGGGTGGGGGAGTGGTGGTGGAAATGAGAGATGGCAGCAGCCATTCCCAGCTATTGAGACAACCACATGTGGGCACACACCCATCCTATCTGATAAGCTCTCTCCTAACCGTCTGTAAATAAATGAATAGCCAGCCACAGAAAGATACCTATAGAAGCATACACTGCCTCAGCTACCATACTGGTTGCATTTTTGAAGACTTTTTATCATTAAGGTATTTAACAAACAATACATAATTCCGAGAATAAATTGGGGAAACAGTGTTTTATTGTGAAAAGTGGGGCTGGATGGATCTGGATAACAGGTAAATAAAGATAGGAGACAGGTCCTAACAGGAAAATGCACATGGAGCAAGAAAGAGAGGATGAGTTTGGGGAAGAATTTCCAGGGGAGATAATGTGTGAGTCTGATGGCAAAGGATTCTCATCACCTAGGTAAAACAGAGTTAAGAGAAACACTAGGTGAGGCAAAGAATGAAAATCAGACCCAGAATACATGACATTGCCAAGGGCCCAATATGGTGGTAAGGGTTCTAAGAGATGAAGATATAATTGTGGCATATTACAAAAGGCCTGTTAGACCCATAGTGTGGCATGGAATTTCCATGTTACATAAAAATCAATAAAAGGAAAAAAACTAAATATTCAAGAATCTTACACTTAAACACACATTATTTATTCAGCACCTCATTAATATGAAACATAGTTTGAGAATAAGGGGGATAAATTAGTCTTTGAACAGTCATAGTATGAACTGAAAATCCACACACCAACCAGGAAATTGATAAGAGCTACCAAATCTACATCTATCTAATTTCTTTCATCTCCCTCCAAATTTCTAGTGATCACTTTCTACCTTGCCTTAGAAAAATTCACACAGAGATCCTATCTCTGGCCACTAGATTATCAGGTTCTTGTGAGTATCTGTTCATGTTTATTTTGCATTACTGGTAACTCTAAGCCATGCTTGACACGTACCGGGCATGCAAATATTTGTTAAGCTGACTATTTAATTTGTTATGATTCACAAAAGTGAATCAACAGCCAGTAAGATAACTGGGGGTGGGGGGGCGCTAGGGGGAAGCAGCATAATAATGTACCAAGCACAAGAAACTTGTTATTCAGCAAAAACAACAGTCTTACTTTGCCTAGTCCAACACCTATCAAGAGCCTGTTACCTGCACGGTACTATGCTAGATCCTATAGGAAATTCAAATCATACCAAGCCATGGGTCAAGACATGAACTATTTGTGGACAGAACTAAAACTACATGACAGATAAACAATGCCCCATTATGCAATCTGAATCATGGTAAAGTGTTTATTAAAGTGCATTCAAGGTTTAGATTTAAAAGTGTTCAATTAAAAGTGTTTCTCTCTTCCCTTCCCTCTGTGTGGGTGTCTCTTTTGTTTGCCAATACTGGAGCTTGTCTCACTCTTGTTCTTTCCTTCAAGTCTGGTATTCTACTACCTGAGCCATACCTTCACTTCTAAAAGTCTTTTTAGGGCTGGGAAGGTGGCTCAAATGGTAGAGTGCTAGCCTTGAGCTGAAGAGCTGAGGGACAGTGCCCAGGCCTAGGACCCCCTCCCAAAAAAATGCTGATTTTAACCTATGAAAGAATAAGCTTTATTTGAAGTCCTATGACCATCTCAATATATAGAAAATTCAACTTCCATTCATAATAAAGCTTTTGGCAAACTAGTTAGAGATAAATTCATTTAATATTCCAACACATTTCATACTTATTGGTGAAACTTCAGACTTATACCACACCCTTTTAAGTGAAGAACAGAGATGTCCAATAAAAGCAGTTCTTTGTTTCTGCTCAATATTGTAATAGAGATCCAAGGAATAACAAGAACAAGGATTAGAAAAAAAGGAAAACGAAACTGTCATTATTTGTAAATGAACTACAGTAGAAAATCTAACGATGTCAATTTTTTCAAACTCAAGAGTTCAGCAAGATTACTAAAGATCAGTTATCAAAAATCAACTGAAGCCAGATGTTGGTGGCTCACACCTATAATGCTAGCTACTCAAGAGGCTGAGATCTGAGGATTGTGGTACAAAGACAGCCTAAGCAGGAAAGAGTCTCTGAGACTCTTATTTCCAACAAACTATTCAGAATAAGCCAGAAGTGATGCTGTGGCTCATGTGGTAGAGCGCTATCCTTGAGTACAAAGAAGCTAAGGGACAGCACCAGGGCCTTGAGTTCAAGTCCCAGGATTGGCAAAAATAAAATAAATCAACTGAGCCAAAAAATGTATATAGGAATATTCACAGACCTTATTGATAATATCCTCAAATTATAAACAACTCAATATTCATCAACTGTTATTAACTGAGGTGTATTCATACTGTGTAACAGACCAACGTAAAAAAGGACCAAAAGTAATCCATTCTAGCATGGCTAAATCTCAAAAACATACTAAGTAAAAGAAATCCAACCTAGCAATAAAAGAAAATATACCAATGCCAAGTGCTGAGGAAAGAATAAACAAAGGGAACTGTCAACTTTCCTACCGTTGACAAGAGATGGCATAATTACTTTAGAAAATTTGGCTGTAACTAATAATTCTAATCATAGATATGTAATTCTAAAAAGTTTTTGCATGTGTACATAAAGAAATATGTGCCAGTGGCTTACGCCTGTAATCCTGTATACTCAAGAGGCTGAGATTTGAGGATTTATGATCTTCAGACTGATTTGAAGCCAGTCTTGGGTAGGAAAGACTCTTATCTCCAATTAACCAGCAAAGCAGCAAGTAAAGTGGTAGAATGACACCTAAGAGCAAGAGCTAAGGAATAGTACCCAGGCCCTAAGTTTTTGTCACAGCATACAAACATACATACAGAATCTGTCTGTTCCAATAATGTGCAAATAACAAAATATTGGAAACAATCTAAATGTCCATCATGAGAAGATTATAGACTTACCAAATAATACTGCTAAAAAGAATCAGCTTGCACTGCTAATTTTTAGATAAACCTAAAATTGAACAGCAAGTTTCATTAAGGCAAGTTATACTATATACAACTATATGTTCAAATATATGTATGATATTTTAGACTTTAAATAAAATGTACTATAGACTATGTTTTTGTATTTTTTTAAATTAACAAGAAAAAGTAAAATCACTAAGAGCTATGAGTTTCTTCACTAGGATGTATAACTTTACCTGGCCTAATTTAAAAGAAGTCAACGAGACAGTTCCTCCTCTGTACTGCAATAAAACTGGTACATCTTAAACTGTGCTTATAAGGCAACAGAACTCCCACAGGTGATGTACA